CGATCAAGTCGAATAATGTTAGTACAAAATGATAACATTAAGAATACGAGTAAATTAAATTTATGATCAATCATACACGGCTGGTCTAGAATAGCTTGAAAAGACTAGTAAAGTGACAACTGAATCAAGACAAGGGTATAGTATTATGTACATTATAAGATGAAGATCGGGCTTAAGGATGGACTTACTCTTGTTTTGAGCCGAATGAGCGCGAAGCCATAGTTTCTTCAAGGGGGAGAACAAGGATTGTAGCCACCCCATGTAGAGAGAAATGGGTGTGGCACAAAATTAGGTGAGGCACTTCATGAGGATGGAAATAAAAGGGAGAGATAGAGGGATAGTTTGCTTAGACAAGGGTGAAGTATGAGAGAAAAATTACTATTCTCATTGAGTTTTATATATTTATTTATAACTAAGAAATATTTATTATATGCTTTTCCCTTGAAAAATAATCATTAGAATTATTGTATTTATCACATTTTTCTTGTAACTTTGGTGAAATGTCATCTTCTTCGCCTTTTTCCCTTGTTAAAGAAGACGAATCCCAGCCAATGAGCCGAGTTTATGCACACTTTCACAGTTTTTCACAGTGTCTTTTTCAACCTTTGTGTTTTTATTTCCGTTGCCTTCTATCTCAAGCTACTTCTGTTTGTTCTACGTGGCATGAACAAATCAGAAATTATAATTACATTATTTTTTTTTTCTTTATAAATTACTCTTTAATATGAATTTGTTCACAGGTCAATATGGCTCGAGTTAACATGTTATACATTTTGTGATTTTGAGACTATAGGAGAAGAGTAAGGGGATTACATCTTCAAAGTGCTCTAATAAAAATTGAATCTGTTCAAGATTGGAACGTTACTTCCTTATCAGTAGGCCAACATTTAATTGGTAATAAAAAACTTCATTGCTCTTTTTTTTTCTTTCTATTTCGGTTCATTTTTCAAGCATAAGACTCTAAAAAATGAGTACTGTTCAAGTATTCTTTCACTTACACCTACTCGTGTGACCCACTAGAAAATTGATGGTCTAATTATGTCACATCTGCCCATAATAATAATATAACTAAGTCCATGTTTCCAGAATTAAAACGACTTGGCTAATTATATTAATATTATGGTATGAACTATGAACAAGTGTCAATTTAGGGGGGTGAATAATTAAGATCGTCCAATACTATTCACCCAAATGTCAGTGATGTAAGCAGAGTTTATAAAACTAAATCTCAAAGCAATGACTAATGAATGTTGCTAATTTAGGTGTCTTAGCATACTTGAACAAAAGCAAAAGGAAAAAACTTTGTAACGTTATAGCTATAAATTTATCGTTGGATGAAAAAAACCCTTAAAAGATGCAACGAGGACACAATAACATTTTATTTTGTTATCCACTTGGTCAAATGTAAAAGTATAAATGAAAAAAAAAAAGAAGTATAAATATATTTACAAGTGTACCAGTGCCGTCTTAGGCATTTTTGGGGCCCGGAGCAGATACTAAAAAAGGGGACCTAAACAATAGAGTCGTATTTCATAAATAAGGTCAAAGTTATATCTACTCACCGGATAAACTACCCATTACTAATACATGATTGAAATACGAAACAAAGTATCATTAATCTTGTTAATTTGTATTCGACTATTACTACTTTTTATTAGAAGTGGATAATTGTAGTTTATCCGATGGGTAGACAAAGAATTTTCCATAAAAATACATAGCATGAATTTTATACTTTGTATTAAAAAGTTTAGCAATATTACTAATAACATGAATGAAAGATAGTCACTTAGACTGGGCAAAACTATTCTTTACTGGGGTATTTTTTTTTTTCTTTTTGTAGCTTAATTTGCATTATGACTCATCTTTACTCTTAATCTTCATAATATTTAGAAAAATATTAAAGAAATTTAAGTAAAGAATTTTAACTATCATAGTCATAATAATTTAGAAGAAAATTAAATGAGAGAATTAGAGGATCAGGCTTGAACAACAATTAGAATAGTACAACAGTACTTTGTAAATAATTTAACTTTGGTTTTATTTTTATAATTTTATTATTATTTTGTAAATCATATTTTATTTTTATTTTTTTTAAATGTGGGGCCCCTCAACTTGGGACCCTGAGCCAATTCTCAACCTGCTCCCCCTATGAGTCAATGCTGGAGTGTACATTCAAATATATACTCCCTCTGTCTAAGAATGGATTGTTTGCAGGGGTCGTTAGGGGTTTGACTAGAGGTGATTAACATCGGCTCGAAAATAGGGCGGGTTTGGACAAATCTAAAAATTCAATTTTTTGTTAAAAACTCGAACCTGGCCTGAAAAAAGCCCGAGAAGCCCGCTTTAACCCGACAAGCCTGCTACTATTTTGATGATTTGGGCACGGGATATGATGTTATGGCACGACCCGACCCGTTTTTTGGTCATCTCTAGGTTTGACCCATAGTACAAGCTGATACCTAAGGGAAAAGTTATATAAAAAAAATAAAAAAATAAAAAAAAAAATAAAAAATTCAAAGAACTTAAATAACTATACTATCCCACAGTACGTGTACAAAAGTTACACAAATCCTTTACTCCCTTTGTTTATTTGTAAGTGTTACACTTTCTTTTTTGACAACCTACTTCAGTTAAATATTAATTAGTGTGTGACTCAAACGTTGTCCCAAGATGTTACTTTGAGTATTTTTTTTATATTTTATTTTTTTTATAAAGTGTTTAAATTTATTAGTATTAATAATTTGGAATATAATGTTGAATAGCGAAGAGAATATAAAGAGTCTTATAAGTCTCTTTTGTTTACAGTTTGGATGCATGTTATTTTTTATTTTACATTTAAATATATTTATGTGGATAAATAGAGCATAAATTATTGCTAGTTAAGATGGCCAGATGTGTGCTATTCATTCCATGAGGTTAAGAGTTCAAATCTCTCACTATGCAGTTTTTAGTTAACATTGTCATGGGTTATTGAGTGGCAATGTGGCACGATGACATGGGTTTATTGAGTAGTGACGTGTCACAATGTTAGTGCAAGAAGGGTACTCGTGGCACATAAACGTATATATATAACTAGTGTTTTAGCCCGGGCGATGCCCCAGGTCACTTCATTACTATTGTGTAAGCATCTTAGTTAAAGAACACATTTTCATACTTGAGTTTATTCTTTGATTATCTTCTTCTTCTTTTTTTTTGTAATTTTTTTTCTTTTTTTTATATATATATAAAATAAATCTTGTGGTTTGCATTTATATAATTTTTTTTATATATTAATAACGTGATTGATAATTGGCTTAGATGGTTAAATAGTTATCCTTGTTATTAGAGGTTCAGTGTTTGAATCTCCTTATCCTTATATTTTTATATGGAGTAATGCTGGTTGCTTGGGTGATGTGGCATATTATACGAAATAATGTTGGTGGCGTAATGGTTAAGATTGTTTGAGTGATGATATGGTGTCATGTGATGTTGGGAAGGTGACGTCGCGTAATAAGAAGGGTCTACGTGGCATCGACGTTCTTAGGAATGCCTTTTAATACAAATAGTGAGTAGCCCGGGCGTTGCCCCGGGTTGCTACTGTTGTAGACGTGCGATCGATAAATTTTCTTATTGGCTTTTTAAAATTGTAATTGTTATTGTCAAACTAAAATTGAGGTTTTTTTTTTTTTTTTTTTTTTTTTTTTTAGTATATTTTTTTTTAATTGAATCTTAAGGTTTGCACTTATATAATTTTTTTACATTTTTATAACATACTTGATAATTGGCTTAGATGGTGAAATGGTTATTCTTGTTATAAGAGGTTGAGGGTTCGATCCTCATTATCCTAGTGTTTTTATATTCAATAATGTTGGTTGCTTGGGTGATGTGGCATTGTTTAAGTGATGATGTGGCATCATGAGATATTGAGAAGATGACATGGCGCAACAAAAAAGGAACTACGTGGCACATCGACGTTTTTAGGAACGCCTTTTAATATATAGTATAGATTAGTATAGATAATAATAATAATATTATCAGGTTGCCTTATGGAAGTTTCAGTAGGGGGATCACACTTCTGCCTGGTTGCAAGTGGTCCCAATATCGGGTTTGGGTCAGACTATGAATGGTAAGGCTTACAATTGTGTTCTTTGCTACCGGTTGGGTGTTCCTTTATTCTCCGTTTCGACACCGTGTTCTTCTTGCTCAAGGGTTTTTTATGGGAATATTTTTGGGGATCATGCAATGTCTTGTGTTGGATGGTGGGTATTAAACATCGGCATAACGTTGTTTGTGATACCCTGGTTGATGTTTGTTTTTGGTTTGTGCTTTCAGCAAGAAAGGAGGTTAACATTGGGTTGACTGGAGAGAATGATGGGACTCTTCGACCTGCAGATGTGTTACTTTATTCCTGGGACAGAGGCGTTGATGTATGTGTTGACTTGACGGGGTCTTCTCCTTTTACACAATCTGGGTTGTCTGACTTCGTTCTTGGTCGTGTTGTGTCGGTTGCGGCTCAACAAAGCGGGACAAGTATGGGCGTGTTGCAAGGCTATTGGTTTTGGTTTTCTTCCTTTCTCCTTTTCTTCATTGGGGGAATTTAGAGACGGATATGATGTTGTTGCGTTGTTGAAGCGGGTTCAGGCGTTCGCTAAGACTCAGAATTTTTTTTTTTTTTTTTTTACTTTTTTTTTTTTTTTGGTAAATAGAAATTTTATTACCAAATAAGAAAGTTACAACTTACAAAATAGAGTTGCAACATACAAACAACCAGACTACAAAGACCAAAAGGCCAAACAAACCCCCAAAACAGTTCAAGGCTTGAGAGTAACCACCTTCTAGGAAGGATGCTAACTCGAGCCAAGAACTATTTGAAATCCCTACCACTGACCACCTTCTAGGAAGGGTATCAGAAACAGAGGCCAGACATACAAAAAGCCCCAAAGGACTACCATACACTACCAAAACTATAAACAACTAATAGCAAATAAGAACCCAAAAGAACCGAGCATCAGCAGCAGCTACTACAGAGCTCCACCATTAGTAATCCAGAACAGCTTCTTTTTGTCATCATTACTACACCTGCAAGCAACTCTATACACCAGCTGTTTGAAGACAGTATGAGCAGGGTCACAATAGCCATTAAACAAGACATTATTTCTTTGAAGCCAAATGCTATGAACTGCTTCAGCTAGAAACATAAAATGCAGCCTACTGATAGAATCAGTTCTTCTACTTCTCTTGATAGCCCAGTCTGCTTCCTGTTTAAACCCTTGAACTGGTTTTGAACAGTTGAGAATCTTCAGAACCTTTGCCCAGATCCTGCTAGAATAATTAAAGAGAAAGAAAAGATGTTGAACACTTTCATTTTCCTGTAAACACATAAAACAGATAGGATCACAGGCCTGATTCCAAGTAAGGATTCTATCCTTAGTCATCAGCCTATTCCAGTTTGCTAGCCACAACATGAAAACACTTCTTAGAGAGGCACTATTGTTACAAATAATCCTCTTCCAAGGGACTTTATCAGCTTGCTGTCTTAGCTTGGCATAAACTTTCTTGATTTGAACTTTATTATTGCCAGTCACTGAGTTCCAGCCTCCTAAATCTTTAATCAAACTTCTATATTTCATGAGTTTCCTGAGAACCCAAGATCCTTTTTGAGGTATTGCAGCTGTCCAGAAGTCCTTAGCCTTAAAATAGTAGACATGCAGCCATTTCACCCATAAAGAGTCAGCTTTATGAGTAATATCCCAAAGAACCTTGCAAATAGCAGCTATATTCCAATCACACAGCTCAATAACATTCCAGCCTCCACATGATTTAAGGAAACAGATTGTCTTCCAGGCAACAAGAGATTTCTTTGTGGGGTTGGCCTTCCCTGTCCATAAGAAAGCTTTAAACCTACTTTCAATCTCTTTCATAATCTTTTTAGGCAGGATAAATATCTGAGCCCAGTAGGTTTGTATTCCAAAAAGCACACTCTTAATCAATTTCAATCTACCAGCATAAGATAGAAATCTAACTGCCCAGCTTTCAATTCTACTAGTGATCTTATTAACTAGGGGCTTACATTGCTGAGTTGTTAGCTTTTTTAAGGACAGAGGAACCCCAAGGTATTTAAAAGGAATAGTGCTAGCAACCATACCAGGTCCTCTAAGAAGGGTATCTTGTTCATCTTGAGTGATCCCCCCAAAGTACACCTCACTTTTAGTGAGGTTAGCCACTAAACCAAAGCTTTAGAAAACTTCTGGAAAGCCTCAAACAGAAGCTGAACAGAACAACTATTAGCTCTTGTAAACATAAGAAGATCATCTGCAAACATGAGATGAGTAATAGACAGCCTTTCACACCTTGGATGAAAGTTAAAATCAGGCTTCTTACCAAGCTCATGCAAACACCGAGAGAGATACTCCATTCCTATAGCAAATAGAAAAGGTGACATAGGGTCTCCTTGCCTTAACCCTTTCTTTGCTATAAAAGGAGCACAGGGAATACCATTAATCAGAACAGAAAAGGAAACATAAGTGATACACCCCATAACCCAGCCTATAAACATATAAGGGAAGCCAAGCTCATTCATTACAACCTTGAGAAAGTGCCATTCAATGGAGTCATATGCTTTCCTCAAGTCAACCTTGATCATGCATCTAGGGGTTATATATTTATGGCTATACCCCTTTATAAGCTCAGTAGCTAATAAAATGTTATCTCCAATATGCTTACCCGGGATAAACCCAACTTGAGCCTCATCAACTACCTCTCCAATAACCAAAGCAAGCCTAGCAGTGATGATCTTTGAAATGATCTTGTAAAGAACTGTACAACAAGCAATATGCCTAAAATCACTCACATATGAGGGAGTTTGACCTTAGGCACCAGGGTCAATGTAGTGCAGTTCCACTGATAGCTCATAATACCAGTCTCAAAAAAATCATTCACAGCCTCATAAATATCAAGTTTGACAATCTCCCAAGTAGACTTAAAAAATTTTGAGTTATAACCATCAATACCAGGGGCTTTCTCATCAGCAATGCTCTGAATAGCACAATCAATTTCAAAAACAGTAACAGGAGCAATAAGCAGATCCTGAGAACCAGCAGAGGGTTGTCTTCCTACTCTTATAGTAACCAGATCAACAACTTCAAGAACAGGAGAGTTTGAACCCATTAGATTCTTGTAAAAGTTGACTATTTCCCTTTCCACATCACCAGGAACATTTAAGAGAACCTGTTGGTCAGTCAATATAGTATCTATTCTGTTCCTAGCCTGCCTGTGCTTCATCATGGAGAATAAATATTTATTATTTGAATCCCCAAGCTGCACCCAATCAATTCTAGAATTCTGTTTAAAGATGCTCTCCTGAACAGATCTCCAATATCTCAACTGCTGTATAGAAAGAACTTCCTGAGTCTCCAAATCAGAAACAGAAAGTTGAGAACTAGTGGCCATTTTAACCTGAATATCCAGAAGATCCCTATGAGCTAGCTTAACTCTCTCATCAATGTTATTATAAGAGTTAATATTAAGCTCCTTGAGGTGAGCTTTCAAATTTTTCAATTTTCTCCAAATTCTACTCATGGGTTTACCAGGAACCCCAACACTCCAGACACTATGAACTATATTCATAAACTTAGGTTGAGTGATAAGGTGGTTCAAAAACCGGAAAGGTCTTCCCTTCCCAAGAAGTGGAGGAAGGATCTCATACAATAAAGGAGTATGGTCAGAGAGAGAAGGAGGAAGGTAGAGAGCTTCAACATTAGGAAATTGGAGAAGCCATTCAAAATTAACAAATCCCCTATCAATCCTAGTTTGAGTCCTAGGGCCACTGTGAGCTTTGTTAGACCAAGAGTAAAAAGGCCCTTTACTCTTTATCTCAACCAAACTCAGATCCTCAACAAACCTTCTAGAATCTCTAGTATCGTAATCAGTGATCTCACTCCCATTTAGTCTGTCACCATCATGTAAAACAGTATTGAAGTCTCCTGTGCATAACCAAGGAAGAGAAACAGGAGCTATATTTCTAATACCCTCCAAAAGGTCCTTTCTATCATGAATAGTATGCAGACCATACACAAAAGTAACCATAATTTGCCTACTGTAATCATAGGTACTAACAGTGCAATGAATAAACTAAGATAAGACAGTACTCACCTCAACATGAATTTTATCACTCCTCCAACCTAGCCAAATTCTACCTTTTCCAGAAGCTGTGTAATTATAAATCCAAGAATAACCATGAGAAATCTTGTACTGAATCCCTTTACTTTTCTTCAGCTTGACTCTTGTTTCAAACAGACAAACAACATCAGCATTAGATCTAAGAAGGTGCTGTTTAACATCAACCACCTTGGCAGGGTCGTTAAGAACCCTAACATTCCATGCTGTAATAATCATTGCTGTGGAGGGGGCCCACCCCCGTTAGGCTCAGTGTTCTGACAACTAGGTCTAGGGACTTCATCAACAGGCAATACATTAAATTGATTAGTGATCAGAACAACACTATCATTAGCAGCAGCATTCTCCTTCCCTTTTCTCTTAACTGTGTCCCAATTCCCAGTAGGCTTATCATGGATCCCAGTGCCTTGTCTCCCTTTTTGCACCCAAGTCTTTTTTTGAGTTTGTGCCTTGGGAGCATTCTGGTCTTGAATCACTTTAGGCTCTTCACAAATGTGACCAGCTTTATACATTTTTTACAGAACGGGGGGGGGGGGGTCCATTCATACACAACAGTCAACTCAATTACCTCTCCTTTAGGACTCTCAACCCATACAGATTTAGGAAGAGGTTTAGTAATGTCAATTTCAACAAGCATTCTAGAAAAAGAGACTCTTAATTGCCTTGATGTGCACTCATCAGCACAAATTGGCACCCCGAAAGTACTTCCTATTTTGCCCAAAGTTTCAGGGCCCCAACAGTTGAGAGGCAGATTAGGTAACTTAATCCATAATGGAACAGTGCGCAAAATTTCAGCATGGAAATCAAATTTCTCATTCCATGGTTTAACAATAAAAGGCTTTCCAAAAATCAAAAGGACCTCCACTTAGGACAGAGTTCAAGTTATCAGCTGAACCCAGATTAATTAAAAAGTATCCTTCATCATGCCAGAACACATCAGGATTATTCTACAATCTCCAATCATTAACGATAAATCTTTTAATAGCTGCAATTGTAGGGTAAAATCCAACAGCATATAACACAACAGCATTAGTCCATTTTTTCGTTCCTTCCTTAATTCATCAACAGGAAAAATGGCAATAGACTTACCGTCTTTAATCTTGGGGGGGGGAACGAAATTTAAAGAGATCCCTTTTGCATTTAGTTTCCCAGCAAATCCTAGATTTCCAGCACTCCCTTTCCTAATATTCTCAGACTCATTACCAAAGGGGCCATTTGAATGACTTTGCAATCCAGGGTTTGCAGCCTGATTGCTAGGCAGTGGAACAGTAATCGGGGAAGTTACTGTTCCATTGGTTTTAGGGCCAATCGATCCAAAGCTCAGGGCTAGCATCTCAGCATCTCGTCTAGTTATCAAACCTGCAGAGGGGTGAACAAGTCCAGGAGCAGGAGTCACAAGTTCATCCCCTTCATTAAATACCTCATGAACAGCTTGAAACCCAGATGGGGCAGGAACAAATAAGGATTCAGTAATTTCTTTGGAGACCTTAGAGGGAGTAGGGGTAGCTTGCTTATTCTTTCGAGCAAAACCAAGCCACCATAGACACAGATCGAAGCTTTCTCTCTCTAGGGTTTTTCACTTTCTCTCTCTAGGGTTTTTCAAATAGCTTTTAATGCGTTTGACTTTAATTTCATTCAAAAAGCTTTATGACTCGGAATATTAGTGCTCGTGCAGCTGCTCACATTTTCAACAAGATCGGATTCGCTATAGCTAGAGGGGTGGGGGCCCAGATTGTATCTCGGCTTCTCACTAATTTCATGTAAATTGAATGACTTTGTCGGTTTTTTTTATAAATTAATTTAATTATTTTTTTATAATAATAATAATAATAATAATAGCAATAATAATAATAATAAAAATAATAATAATAAAATAATAATAATAAAATAATAATAATAATAATAATAATAATAATAATAATAACTAGCCTTTTGGCCCATTCGATGCACGGGTTGTTACTTAGGTTATTTTTCTTGAATTTTGTTGCTTATTTGAGTTATATACGTTAGTGTTGTTTTGTAATAATTATATTTAATCTTGCAAAATGAGAAAAAAAATTTGAATATTAATTAAATCCCAAACCAAATTGAATTAAATTAAAGGGAAATCCTTGAAAAATAAAACTTAAGAGAAACAACAACAACAACAACAACAATAATAATAATAATAATAATAATAATAATAATAATAATAATAATAATCTTCAACAGGATCGGGTTCGCTATAGCTAGATTGTATCTCGGCTCCCCACTAATTAATTTCTTGTAAATCGATTGACTTTGTAGGTTTTTGTTATTTTGACTTTGTAGCTAGAGGGGTGGGTACTGTTTGGCGGCGTCTGGTTTCGAAGGTTGGTGCTATTATGGTTGGCCAGTCTTTAGGAAGTTACTTTGATGGTCTCTAATTTGGTGTTGGGGTTTCTTTGGGAGTTGAGGCGATTCTTCATGCTGTGAATCGGTTGATTAAGAATCGTGGTTCCGATGTTGGTCTTTCTATGTCATTGGTGGATTTTCAAAATGCCTTCAATCTAGTTGATTGTGCGGTCATGTTACGTGAAGTTCGTCATCGTGATCCGGGCCTTTCGCGATGGGTTGAATTCTGCTATTTTAATCCAGCAAGATTGTATTATGGGGAGCACACCTTATGGTCGTCTCAGGGGGTGCAGCAGGGTGATCCCCTTGGTCCTTTTTTTTTTTGCTTTTGGTTTTACAACCCCTGGTGTGTAAAATCAGAGACACTTTTGATGTATATCTTCAGGCCTGGTATTTGGATGACGGCACTGTTATTGGTGAAACGTTGGTGGTGGGGAAGTTTCTGTAGTCGATTATGGAGGAAGGGCCTCGTTTTGGGTTATATCTTAACGTGGAAAAAAACTGATGTTTTCTGGCCTACAGAAGACCCTCGCGTCGAAGCAAGCTTGTGGGTGTCTTTCCACCTAATATTGCTCGACCTTTGCGTGGTGTAAGG